GGTCTGCCCAGTTCTGCAGACCGTGTGGATTCTATCTGTACACACTGCTGATGGCTGCCGGCCGCTGGTACTGGCCACACATCGGCAGTCTGATCCACACAGCTATCATACCAGCCAAAAGAGCATGGTGGCTATATGTTGTTACGGTTGTGGTAATTTGTTGCTGTGAAAATCCTCATAATTTTCGGGAACTGCGGCAATTAGAAAGGGCACGACAGCAGTTGCTACAGTTTTGCAAAGGACATTCATAGTAAATAGGGGGCTTCACTCTCTAAGCCCTCTTTCAGGGAGGATTGCTGCCACCCCTAACCCTTGCCTGATCTGTAAAATCTGCACCTCATATGTTCTGGCAGGATAGAGCCAGGGCAACTATCCTCTGGTGACACACACTGATTGTATGTAGGCCCACCCTAGCCTTGCCTGGTCTCCAAAATCTTCACCTTGTATGTTCTGGCAGGATAGAGCCTAAGCATATATCTTGATCTTGCACCAATAATTTCTTACCATGACCAGTAAATCCACAGTGGCCAGCCTGCGAGATGTGAAAATCCTCTAAACTGTTGGTGGGAATTGTGACAACTGTCTGCTGCTCTTTGTTATTGCAATGATATTTTGCATATGAAAGATGAAACAGCAGCTTATACACAGCCTAGCCATGATGGAAGTGATTTCAATTTCAACTGATCCTTGGGTCCAGCTTCTATCACAAGGGATTACTTATTACAGATTTTATTGGTTTTAATAGAATGGTCGCTAGTGTCTATGGCACATCACAGCCAAGTGCAAATACCATTGGCTCATTTGATTTCTGTGTACGTCATCCCTACAATTCTGTTGCTGCTGGAGGAGAAAGAACCATGGAGCACCTGGAAATTTTGAGTTTTATATCCTCTCTGCTACCCTTATTATTAGTTTGTGAAGAAAATGCTTTAGAAGAAAAGTGTCTTAGAATATTACTTCTGTTGGATATCAAGAGCAGATTATTCAGTTTTGGTGTTAGGTGTCATTTTCAATAATACTTATGCTGTGCATAGTCAATAAAATAAGGAGTAAATTTTTATGACCACATATTCAGAGATACACGAAATGCATTTTGGTTGCTAGATTGAACCTGTAGTAGCCTGATTATGTACATTAGAGCCCATATCATTATGTTACACTCTGTGCAAGAGTGAATATGATTTTATTGAAGGATAATTTTTTTAAAAATTCAGTCATTTTCGTAGATCTTATTTTGAGAGATTGTATGCAGTGATATACAAGGCTATTGCCACCAGCTTCAATACTTTACTTTTTTGTGTAATACTTCAAGACAGTCACACTGGCAGAGTGCCAAAGACAATGCAAGTATATAGAAAAGGTATAAATGAGAATGATATCTTTACAATACAAGAGATGTATTTGACTGGTTTTGAATATATCTGATCAGAAATACATGATGAAGATATTCATTCTCATTCATACCTTTTCTACATTTGTCAACATGAATATGGTTCATAATGTGAATAGTTGGCACAAGGAGACTGATCTTGTAAACACGAATCAATGTTACTTATATATTCGCATCAACAGCAAGAGAGTGCCATGCACTGGTGTGTAACATCTTCCTTGCATGGCAGGTAAATGATTTGTATGCCACAATTTACCCTTTATACAAAACAATAGTCAATCATAACATTACACATCCTGTTCTCCTGCAGGCAATGCCTCAGGGTATGTGGTGTGGGCATGAGGGTTCCTTATAAAGAACAGCAAATGTAATATTTTCATCATCTTAATGTGATATGAATGTCCCGTCACCTGGTGCCAGGCCCAGTTGTCCACGACGTTATCCATAGGTGTAATTAATGCACTACAAAGCTATGGGCATCAGGGTAGGTGTGGAGTCAACTGCTCAGAAGGCTAAAAAGAAGCTTGAAACCTTTTGAATGACTGTTTGTCTTCAGTAATCACATACCATGATGTGATAGGACACCATCTCTGAATAGATGAAGTTTGGTTGGGTGTAGGTCTCAATTGGAAGTGTGTTCAAGTGCTGAATACACATTAGAAACAAGTGGGCCATTCAGTATAATGTTCAGAATCAGAAATAATCTATCTTTTTTTTTTTTTTTTTTTTTTTTTTTTTTTCTTATTTGTTTTGACTGGTCTCCCAGTCCAGAGAGATGTGGGATCCTTGCTTACAAACTTGCACATATTCTTGCAGATATACTTATGCATATCCATATCGTAAGTCATACTTCAAATGCCAGACATGTAAACACAGTTATACACACGCACGCATTGCGGCATCAAAACAAATTATGACAGCAGAAACGTGCAATGGTTCCTGCAGTCTTCTCCCTAACTCTTGCTACTCTTTCATGATTCAAGAGTTCTAACCTTTCCGAGGACAGAGTAAATTGCTTAAGAATTCCACATTTTGAATATTCAACTTGAAATTGGCCGCTACACGTTTGTTTATATTCATCAGTCAAATGAGAATCCATGATCAGTGCTTTTGTTTTTACTTTTTATTTGTATTTTAGCTTAAATTTAAATGTAAATGTTGATGCAAAACTATATGATATTTAAAATTTTCATAGCTTTGAAATGAAAATATATGCATACCATGCATACTGTAGATTCTCAACTTTTTTTCTTTCGTCCATCGATGGACAAGTAGGTGTCCATCTCATCAAACTTATGGGCGAAGTCCAGTGGATTGATTTCATCAATGGACAAATTCCATTAAAATCGCAGGATTTCACAAATCTATGGGTAGTCTACGTCTTTAGTAATGTCACGAGTGGGTTTTGATGTTCATATTGATATTTGTAAATCTGTGTGTTAGATTTCATAGTACATAGTACAATTGCATGTTTCAAAATATCACAGCTGTTCTGTTGGGAAAATGAAGATTTCTGTAACTACATTTTTTTTACTGAGTTGAGTACTATTATTGGTTAATATTCAGTTATAACATATTTGTTGTTTTTCATACTGTCTTTGGGCTTTCTTGCTCATAATAGTAATAAATATTTTTACTTTTTTCTATTTATTATTATTTTTTACAGACCCAGACTGCTGTTCACAAGGTTAGAGAACTACTGGACAGGAATCCAGAAGCTGTAAGTATAAGTGATCACCATTACTTTCAATTCAGGCATGTAATTTACAAAGGATTTGTGCTCATCAAGCCTTTGATGATGTGTAATGGAAAGTTATATTGTTCAGAATGAATGACATTAATTGTTAATGTCTCCTTCGATCTTTTACATTTTAACCAGTGCCGACGGGTAAAATATTTGGCAAGTGGAAGTAATAACGGGATTGTTGGCAAGCATCGGCAGTTTCCCCAGTTTGTGCCCGGCTTGATCAGGAGTTTGCAAGCGACATTTGGCACCTAAAAGCTTTTAATTTGCTATAATTTATAAAAATATTATAATTTTGAAGGTTTACCTTCATTATAGATGCCATTGCCTAAAATCTTTACCATATAAATGAAGTCGCTCCTATTGGAGAAAAACAAACTCCGTCCGACGAGCCAGTGGTGCGGGAATGGCATGATACGATGCCATCCGTGTTTCTGTCCCAACAGCCATGGCATGTATGTATGCCACGTCGGTTAGGGGTTTAATAAAGACAATAGTGGTATAGAAATCTAAAATATAAGTTTTTTAATGTAGGATGTATGTAAAAGTTTTGTGGTTTACATTAGCACTATTTCTCCCCATTGTTTATTTTTTATATATATTTTTGTTATAAATGTATATATAAATATATATATTTGTTTTGCTATTTCCTCTTAAAAAATTCCACAAATTTCTGAAATCTCCTCTAATCTTCTTCATTCTGTGCAGGTTGGTCTGAAGGTTGGTGTGCGACAGAGAGGCTGTAATGGGCTAAGCTACACATTAGACTATGCTAAAGAAAAAGGAAAATTTGATGAGGAAGTAGTTCAAGATGGTTAGTATGTGCGCATTTGATATATATCACAATTTTTAAGTCTTCATAATTATTTAATATCACTGAAGGCAAACTTAATTGTTTTACCTTGATAATATAAACCAATTTTACTAAACTTTCAATTGATAGGCATGGTAAAGAAGTTCCCAGTTCAAATTGTTTCAAACTTTTCTTTCCAGGAGTGCGAGTTATCATCGACAAGAAAGCACAGCTGACCTTATTAGGGACAGAAATGGATTATGTACAAAACAAATTGTCATCTGAATTTGTTTTTAACAATCCCAATATAAAAGGAACTTGTGGTTGTGGTGAAAGTTTTTCCATTTAGTGAAGTTAGTGAGTGTGATTACATTAATAAATGCAAGTGTAGGAATATAGTGTGAAACTTACTTTTTTCTTTAACAAATTGCTAATGTTGTTCATCAGTGTTTTTAACTGGGCTTGCCCAGTATGTAATCCAATAAAGGCCTCAGGCCTTATGTCTACCTAATGCTTTGACATTTGTATGTTTTGTACATTATGATGTAAATCATCCTTGTATAATACAGAGCTCAGATATAGGCAACAATCACTTGATCATAGTATATTGCAGTGTGAAGTACTTGTCTGTTTTGAGATTTTTCGGGATATGCTCGTCTTTCTCATTGAATACCTATGGTCAAGTGATTGATTTTATTTGTGGAAAAAAAAAAATGTATTTATATGTCTTTATTTGTAAATGTGTAAATAATATTAGAAAGTAAAAAGTAATATATTACATTTCTTTCAATGATTTAAAACATAATTTTATTTAAAGACTGTGAAATGGACAATCGACTTTTTATTTTTATATACTGTGCGCACTAATCCATGCAGTCATGTGAAGAAGAGAAGGGAAATAATCTTAAATAGTGCTGAGATTTTTTTTTCCTTCTGTCCTTCAAGACTAGAAACTTGATTAACTATAAACAAAATTTGGCACCTTGATGTATAATAAATATTTCCAGATGCCAACCCCATCTTAACTTACACCTTTGAAATACAATGATGTGAACACAAACAGAAATATTATAAAACATCATATATCACTGGAGTGAAGACTTATGTGTAATCTTCTTGCAAGCCATATTTTCCAAGAAACTTTTTTGTTGCAATGGAGAAGTTATTTTCAGTGTCTGCATTCTTAATTTGCTGGAATGGAGGTCTCAAGGCTTTGGTCTCTCTTGCCGCTCTTGTTCTTCCTGTCATGGCTGGAAAGAAAGTCTCTAATCAAAATCAATTAAAAAATCACATAGCCTACCTGCTAATAATCAAAGAGGTCTTTTTTCACAATTTCTTCCCAAGATTATCAACAAAACTTAGTATAATCAAAAAAATACTCATGATATGAAGGCACAATTATAGTGGGAGAGAGAGAGAAGTGTCAAATTAAAAGGGAAATCTAAATCCTCTAGTTTTGGCCAACATAAATAAGGGATTAGAAATTTTGCAAATGTATGGAAGGAAATGGAGCAAGATTCTGGTTACAATGTATAAAACTTGAACCTATTTTTATGTGTCAAAGAAAAGAGAAAAAAAGGAAAAGAGAAAGGAGAGAGAGAGGAAATCTAGCACCTTAACCCCTTCAGTCCGGAGGCTTCACGGCAATCGCATGGCTAAAATACAGGCATTAGGCGTATGTGAATGACCACACTGATATGCTTGGTTGTAGGTCAGGCAAAAGGAACACTCCATATTTATATTTTCATATGCTTTATCCCATAATAATAGGCTTTTCCTTGCACAGTCCATATCATCTCTCTTAGTAGTTTAATTTTTTTTTCTTGAAATATTCAATTTTCTATAATGCACACCTGTTCTGTCACTCAGGGCATCTAGGAATAGGATGCTGTGCATGGAATAGTGTCCTCCTGAGCCGGGTCTCTTCCAGTCATGGCTCATGAACACTACATTCCTCATTTGTTTATAGACGGGAATAAGCTAAAGTCACTTTCTAAATGCCAAATGTCTAATCGCCCTCCAAGAGGTTTGTTCACAGGTGGCAAGTCTTCAGCGCGCTCACAAAGGCAAATTCACTACAGCTGGGCCCACAGCCAGATTTTGCCGTGACAGCATGTTCACGTCACCAGCCTCAAGCAAAGTTTTTCATGATGTGATGGGACATGACATCCAGTTCATATGGGTTAATGTGCCAGTAAATAATTTTTTACATTATATGTAGAGAAAATTACCACCTATTTCTATGTAGATGTGACAATTTTTTATTTAGTTATTTAAATTTATTTTTGACAAAATTATTACATGATCGGGAAAAAACAGCTTACAATTGACAAAATGGCAGTTATAAACCAATGAGTGATGTCTTACCAGGAGAAGCTGCAGCAATAGCAGCAAGCTGTGCATCTGAGAGATACTTAGCAGCTGTGGCATCGGTCTCTTGATATGGCACTGGCCCTGAGTTGGGGATAGAGTTTTGGTACATGGACAACATGTTATGGAGTCCTGGCAGGTACATGGTATCCAATACTGGTCTGAAAAGAAGGGGTATTTTGGTATGACATGGAAGAAAAAGAGAAAAGCCAGCAAGATTCCTATAATCATCTTTGTATTACCACCTTAGTTTACAGTAAAGTGAATGATTATTTTATTTATTTATTGATAGAAAATGGTCATTATTTTTTGATAGATTTTTATTTTCTTCAATTACTTGAATATTTCATGCTAACATCCTTGCCACTTCTTCCACTGTAATTTTTCTTGAAGTTTCTATAGTTTTAAAAAGAGTAAACTCCAGAAAGATTCTCATGTTTTATTTGAGAACAAAGCAGTTTACAAATACAAGCTACACTCATTAACCTTTAAAATATCTGTAACATTGTGCCTTTGTGGAACTGGGATAATTCTTGTTTAATAAACTGAAGCTCCTAATGCAGAAATTAATGGAGCTATTATGCATGATCTGAATTTGTGAAGAATCTGGCATAACAAAACCTGGATGAAAGAGGCAAGACTAAGAGTGACATCACATCTGAAACTGCAACTAGGAACACTAACAGTATTAGCTTTCTGACTTCTCTTTTTATACAAACTGCCATCTTTTCCAGTGGCAATTAAGGTGCTGTGCAACACCCAAAACCTGTTTTGTGATCCAAGTCCAGACACACCGCAAGGCTCCACCCAATCCTTTGACGTAATGGGAACGGCCATTGGTTATTTTCGATTGGTGCACAGTATTTTGGAATGTATCATAGATGGCCTTTGATATCTTATGGTGGGTTGTGCTGTGTTACAGTTATCCATTATAAGAACAAATACGCATGAAAATAACCAAGGTAGGAAGAATGCATATAGCAACTAGATAAATGTTTACCACCTCCTCAATGGCTGCCAACACAAGAGTGTCGTGTAGGCCATAACTCAGAAAAGACGGCTCAGGTTGGTAAGCATATATTACTGTGGGAAACTATCCTGATAAAGGGGAAATATTCCACAAGTGGAATGTTTTGTAAATTATCTTCATCTGGATTGAAAAATACAACAGAAACAAAAACAATACTACAGTATTTAGTTTTTTAATACCTGTTATTTGTAGCCAGTGTAGCTGGGTCAATGAAACTAATACCAAACTGCATTAACTGTTTTCTAACGGCTTCCATCTGGGGGTCAATTACTGTTGTTTCCTGTTCACTGGTGGCACTGTTTGACTCCTGAAAGAAGGAAAACCTCTTCAGTATCTCATCCAAAGATTCACTGAATTGATCTTTCATTTGAGCGTATGCAAAAGGGTGTTTCATGCACCTTACATGACCATGTGTTGAGCACTGCATGCCATCGGCCACTCAAGGCAAAAATTACAAGCATAAGATGGGCTTCAAGTGACTTAAAGCCTACTTTTGACAGCTATATATACCTTATTGACTTGAGTCATAAAGGAGTTACAAGAGAAAAATTGTTTAGTACACACAATTTGGAGCAGGCTTGAAGTGTATGGAACCATCAACAACAATATTAGTGAATGGGATTTTTTCCCCCCCCCCCCCAACTCTTAAGTACATAAACCTCAGACTCATACCTTCTGTCTCTGGTGAGTGGCAGCATCCTCACTCCTTTCATCTTCCTCTGCAGCCTTAGAATTTTGCAAAATATGCTGAATATTTGTCTGGAAGATATAAATACAAATAATAATTATAATAATAGGAGAGTGAATCAGTAGGGAGCCTTTTTATAAACATGCACACATATACAACAACAAAAAGTGCTTGGGAGCTAAGGCAAGAAATACATTTCAAATCAATTCAGATGTTATAAATGTTGAATCTGTTAAAAATATTTTGGGTCAACCAGTGATTTTTAAAAATAATCTGACCATTTTCTCAGCATAATAAGAGATGTATTTTCATATCTATTAAAATCAAATGCAGAAGATTCAAAGAATGAATATCTGACTCATGTGAAAGATCCAAAAAGACCTTTCTCATATTCTCTCCTACTAAAGATGTGAGGAAAAAAAGAGAAATCTTAAATGAATGTTCCCTGAGCTTATAATCAAGCAAAAATAACAACTTTTGCTAGGGTGAAAAACATACCATTACATTGTTATAAAAAGTGACCCCTGTTGATTTGGTAGCTTGTGCACCTTCCTGAGCCTGAGGACTATCATGGGCTGCTGGACTGCACATGCTAGCACTCTCACCCAAGACAGGAGAGCCTTCCCAATCTACACTTTTCTTCTGTGGATTTCTGAAACAAATATCAATTATCATTGATATTACTTTTCTTAACTAATGCCTGTAATACACCCTACAAAAATAATAAAACAAAAAGGCCCTGTATGGCAAACCTTGTAAACAATGCAAGACCCCAATCTTATTTTGGATTATTTGGCCTACTGTTTAAAATGCCAATCACGAATTTAACATTCCCTAGAACATGATACAGACCTCATACCACTGTGAGCCTCCTCGTGCCTACTGCCATCATGGTACTCTGTCATACTAATGTGGACTGAAGGATCTGGACTTGGGGGGTCTTCCTCAATAGTTTTCATGACAACTTCTTGCATTGTTAGGGACATTTCCTTGTGCACTGTCCAATTTGTTGCTTGTCTTGAGGAAGAATCCCTTCTGTTTAATGATTTTGCCTTATAATTATCTCTAATGATATCTGCTTGTCTTTCTCCTGAATTTCTGTTGTTTGTCTGATAAACTTTCCCAGCCTCTCTAGACTCAAATCTTGCACCTTGCTCAGTGCCTCTTTCAACTGCATTCTCAGATGGTGTAACAGAGGCAATCAAATCTGCCCATGAAATTTCAGTATTAATTCCTATTGATTTGGTCTCACATTTATCAGGTTCTGTCTGACTGCTGGTATCTTTAAATATTTGTTTATGTTTCTCTTGCTGATTGGCGCTGGTGGCCATTACTATTTCTCTCAATAATTCTCTGGATTCCTTGTTCCTTTGAGCTTCATTGTGTTCTTGCTTCTCTAATAACTTTTCCAGAGAAGTTTGTAGCCTGAAAAATATGCTCATTTTGCTTCTCAATCAATTGGTAAACACTTGGATCACACTGATTACTTACTCTACTAGAAACATGATCTGATTGATGGGTAACTTCATCTCCCCTAAATGGACGATGAGAGGACTGACCTCCATGGGGTATAAGTCTACTACTATGCTGAAGTGAAGGGGGCATATTCAAACCCTTTCCGTAAGACTGAGCAAAATTACTAGGCTCTGTTGTTTTGCCTTCACTTATAGGTGGAGAGTATGGCTTAACATTTTCTTTTTCATATCCATACATTTGTAAACATCTCTGATGCTGTTCCATTCGTTTTAAGTGAAGTGGGGTTTCTTCATCACTCATCACAGGATTTTTATAAAAGTGGACTGATTTTGTTGTTACTTGTGATGGCCAGGAGCTCTTACTCAGCATGGCTGAATCTTCATACGATGGAGAACTGACTGTGTTCTGTGTCTGGGGAGTTAACACTCTTGTAACAGGCACTGTATTTCTTGTAATCAGTGGGAAATCTCCCTTACTGGAGGGGAAGAGCTGTGGCCCACCTCCTTGTTCACTCATTTTTCTGAGATGGGCTATAAATCAGAGGGTTGTAATGCTTTTCACTTATTATTGGATTTTTAAGTACTGGTGATCCACTGGCTTCTCTATGAAACTGGCCTTCTGCCTTGCTCTGCAATGGTAATTTTGGTCTTGGGTGATTTTCCTCTGTCCTATTCTTAAAATGTGTTGTAGACTGAGAACCCTGAATATCCCTTGGAGGTCCAGCAGCAAAAGCCTGCTTTCCTGGGTTATTAACTGCTGAGATCACTGGTATTCTCTGGTTTGCCACTGTACTACCTGCTTTCGTGAATGGTACATCCATTTTTTGTTGCAGGCTAGCTGGGAGGCTGGATTTTGGTTGTTGCCAAATAAGGCTGTCCTCACTGTCAAACATCAGTGAAACTTCTGGTACCACTGGTCTAGGCACATTATACTGCTGTAAAAGACACAGTTGTTGACATTAATTAATCTTTTCTAGTCCAAGAATCTTTTATATAAACAATATAAACATTTGAAGAAGAAGAAGAAAAACAGTAGATGTATTGTTTACCAAATGGTTGAAGTACAAGTTGCAAAATGTTATAATCTGTCTCAGTATTTCTACTAGCTATATCACTACACTTTGGAAATACGTACTTTTTATGCTGGGTACCACAATCTATCTTTTTCTTAAAAGATACAATTCAAAGCCTTAATAGCTTCCTTCCCTTATTATTCCCATCATCTATTCTGCTTTGGTCCACTGACAAGTTCATCATGTTCCTTCCAGTTTAATAAATGACATTCCAAAACACTATAGAAAAAGATTATACAACTGCTATTCGATCATGAAATATCTATATTACTTAAATACCTACTGGCAACACAGATGGCCTGGGGGGTGGAGCTCGTCTTGGGGCTGCATCGTCATCCATTATTGTCAGGAATCAAACTTCTTCCCTGGAAACAAATCAATAGCTCTAGATTGTACAATGTCTGAAAAGTATGAACTTCGTGGTAAGACGTAAATCAATTCAGAAAGCCTGTCAAATATATTCCTTTACTTGCTGTACTGGTGCAGTGTAGTAGAGTATTGGTCTAGCAATCTTGCTGAACTGCGTTTAATCCCCCACGTGGCCAGTGGATGGTAACCCTGGACCACCCCTTGCACACAGGGAGATTTGGAAGCAAAATAAAACAGACAGTATGTCATGGCAAAGAATATCCATTATAACAAATGGAATTAAAACTAAATCTTTATAATTTTTAATCTTAAATCTATCACTGAGATGATTCTGAATGGACATTAAAAAGAGCAACATGAATTTAATATATATAATTCAGAGTTCCTCTGGTAGCATGATGTGATCAGATGAAGCTGGTGTTCATTTTCTTTGCAAACCTTTGTATTTTGAATAAGTTACCCCTCCCCCTCCACCCCAACACAGGATTAAGAACCCATAGGCTTTTGGGGGGAGGGGAGGCAAAATGTGTATAAAGCATTTGATTCCTGGAAAGTGTACAATAATATCAGATATGTGACAATTTCCTTGCCCACATGGCTTACCATGTGCACAGCATTTGCTGGTGCCTCTGTGTCTTGCAGCACTACAATGTTAGAGTCAGCAAGTGTCCTCTATTTGTGTTTTGACAGTTTAGAGCTTGGACTGGTTCTTCATTTGATCACCAATCTCCTGGGTGTATTGTCAATTATATCTCACATCACTATTGTATATCTGTACAATACAGCAGTCGCATATGTATTCAATAAAAGAACTGGGTGTGGACTGCCTTGAACAGCCAAACTGCAAAACAGCCTATTGATTTAAGGGCAAGTCTTCACTGTTTATCTTCTGAAGATGAAATGACCATCCACGAATACCCTTTCCCAGGACATGGCCATTTTCGAGATAAGAGCACATCATTTTAACCCAACACTGACAGCTGCCTCACCAATGAGATGGCTAGATAATGGACAGCATCTCATGTGTGATAAATCTGCATTCTTGGTCTACACTCTGATTGGGTCGCACGCCACTTGTTCCTAAAGCGCTACTCCCTAGCAGTGATTAGTTACTCTCATGAGTACCACCTAGAAATCAGGGTGTTTTTCTCACTCAGATATTGTTGTGGATTGCTTATGTGTAAATACATCATTCAACAGGGAGAGCCGCTGTATTGAGTAATTTAAAATTTCCCACAGACAGCCAATTATTAATGGTGTAATATGCATGAATCTCTTGTTGCTTTATATTGCAAATGACATATAGAGATCCCTATTTCTCCAGCTACTCTTGTGGATCCACATCAATGCAACAGAACAACGAAGGGAAGGGCAAGAAAACACACGAATATGCCGAAGGCCTTTTCACTATTGCTTCGCTATTGCTTTGCCCTGATGAAGCAATAGTGAAAAGGCCTTCGGCATAATCGTGTGTTTTCTTCCCCTTCCCTTCGTTGTTCCTGTTGCAATCTGTTCTACATGAATTCCACACATCCACATCAATAAAAACCTTCCGAGGCTTCACCCCTAGACCCGAACCCCATTGCTGAATTTCCCTATCTAGGGCTTCACCCCACGATCCCAACCCAGTCACTGTGGACTTACTCTCCACGCAGCACTTCTCTACCTATTTTCTTCATTTCTGACATTTTCTTTGCATGAACAAATTATTTCATGCATCAGTGACCTTAGTTTTTCCTTTCTTTATGTGTCATTAGATTTTCAAGAAAAAATATACCACAGTATTACATATTGCACAACTTCATTATCATCATCTTGCGAAGAAAATACCATAGATGAACAGTCATTCTATCCATTACCTTATACAATATGGCTGTACGAAACTAAAATCTATAACCTGCATTTTATTTTCTGAAGAAAACACCAGAGATAAAATCATGGATTTATCAGTCTGTTAACTCAATATCCCCAAATCATGACATCACATTGTCAAACATTCTGAATCCTTTTGTTATAATAAAACATACAGATACAGTAACCCAGAAAATGTTGTCAACAATAAACACAAAATAACAAAATGCCAAGCGATTGATTCCAAAGAGCACATACAGGCAACACGCTAACAAAACATGAATTACACGCAAAGACTTGAATGACTCTCTTCAAATGCACTACGGAGTCTTCTTCCATCCTCCTTTATTTGACTGCATGCGTGTGATGTCTCTATTCGCAGAACTTTTTGTTCTTTGTAGTTTATTAGATGCTGTCAATCCTGTTCGAACTTTGAAGGAATATCTTCATATGTCAATATATCTTAGTTCACAGCCTACATGCCTATGGATATAAAATAAAATGAATACCTACTTGCTATTTTTCTCCTAAACAACAACACTTACGCATTAACTTGTGAATTATACACAGAAAAAGACTAGAAATACCTCCTTCAGCTGAACATCAAAGCGACCATTTGAAAGGTGTAAACAAATCGTCCGAATTCGTTGCTCTGTCTTGGTGTATTCTGGCAGTGTACGCATGAAATTCCCATAATGTTGTCAGTTTCTAGATAAATATCATGCAGCATATTAAATGATCGCATATTTTTCTTTACAAACTCATACGTAAAGAACGAACCATTGTTAGAATAATTGTCTTGGAATTTATGCTTTGAAGAGTGGATGCTCTGTACGTACGCGATGTTGTGGCTTCGTTATAAATATAAATTGTAATATGGAATGTTATCTTTATCACTAATCCTGTCATAATCATTATCACAATTATAATCACTGATATCAGTATCACTATGGTTGTTGTTGTTGTTATTACTATTAATATTATTGAATGGAAAAAACACTCTACCGTGTTGATTCTTGTATTATTATTATTACTATTATTATCATTATTATCATTATTATTATTATTATCATATATTATTATTATTATTATTATTATTATTATTATTATTATTATTATTATTATTATTATTATTATATTATTATTATTTATTATTATTATATTATTATTATTATTATTATTATTATATATTATTATTTTATTTATTATTATTATATTATTATTATATATTATCATTATTATTATTAATTATTATATTATTATTATTATATTATTATTATTATTATTATATTATTATAATTATTATTATATATATTATTATTATATATTATTATTATTATTATTTTATCATCATATTATATTATTACTATATTCATTATCATTACCATTGTTGTTACTATTACTATTATCATTATCGTTATTATTTTAATTATCATTATTATTATCATCACTATTATTATTATTACCATTATCATTTTCTATTTATCATTAGTAGCTTTACTATCTTCATTATTATTGTTACTATATCATTATCCTTTATTATTATTACTATTACTGTTGCTATCATCATTGTCATTGTTATTATTATCATTATCATTATTATCAATGCTATCAATATAATTATTATAATTATCAAATTTATATTACCATTATTATTATCATTATCATTATTATATTATCATCATTATTATTATTATCAAATTTATCCTTATTATCATTATCATTATCAATACTGTTATCAAAATAATAATAATTATTATTGTCATTATCATTATTATCATCATCATCATCGTTTTTCTTATTTCATTCATTATCTTCAAAGTTCATATTTTGCGCCCACCGCCCGCAGGTCCCGACAACGCCCGCAAAAAAAAAAAAAAAAAAAAAATCACTAAATCATTATTTTCAACAACTCACCAAACATTTTACTCCCACACATCCCATCGTCAAATCTGCACAATAAACACTTCTTCTCCTGCAATACTGTAGTCTGCCATCACCATCACCTCATCGAAAAATTAATGGTGGCAGAGCCTTGCATTGAGCGTGGCGTGGACCTCCATGGCGTGATTTGATTTGATAATATTTATTTACAGAACAGTGTACAACCTCCATGTTGTGGTGGACAACGATGACACATACCCCCCCCCCCTACCCCCAGTGTGACGATTGCCCAGAAGAACAGATAAAAAAAAAAAAAAAAAAAAAAAAGATTTGATCTGATGAGTTTGACAAACGGTTCTCTTGTCATGCTTTTTAGAGAGAGTACTTTTACTAGTAAATATGAAAGAAAAGTGTCATGATTGTAAACAAGAACTAAGACGTTTTGATGACTTTGTATAGTTGTTGTTCTTTTCTTTAAACATGCATGAACAGATAATGAATAATCGAAAAATTAGCCTCATTAGTTTTTAGTCTTGCTTGGACGCAGAGCAGGAACTTCCGTTCTTGTGGCCATATCGTTATTGTCATTATCATCTTTATTTGGCTATTTATGTAAATTGTTCATATGTAGATAAGTTTTTTTTTTGTATGTGCGCGGTGTTGTTTAGGATTTTTTTTTTTTTTTTTTTTTTTTAAAATTTCATGTAGATTTGGATTTCCTGGAATTATGTCAACGTACTTTGAAGCATTTAATGTCCTAGAGCACCTGCAACTATAGGTTTTATAGTCGCTTTCAGGTGCCACATTCTTTCTATCTGTTTGCAAGTCTCATATTTGGAAAGTTTATCGAACACCTTTGCTAATACATTCTTGTCTGTAGGGACTGTCATGTCTATTTGCAAATATTTTCTTATTCTATGATCTTTCATTAATATATCTGACCTATTTGTAAAGTTCAGTCTGTATTTCCAGCAAAGTCCCATTACATAGTAACATAATCATTTGCTTCATATCTGTTTTTATTTACTATACTACAGTATCATGTAAGCAATACTATAATCACGTAGATAAATACATACTGTCATTATTATTGTAATGTTACAATACAATCATTATCATTATAATATTACCTTGGAATTATAAATACAATCATTATCATTATAAGTTACTTGAATTCAACAATACATCATTATCATTATAATATTACCTGAATTCATACAATACAATCATTTCATTATAATATTACCTTGAATTCATACA